TTCAATCCCCCCAGCCACAAATCCTTTGAGCTCCATTAGCGACTTCACGCGACCTGACCAAACTTCATCGAGCACGCGTGCACGTCCGCTTATGTTTTCGCTACGTGTGCGCGGTGAAGGTATTTTTAAAAGAAGAGGATAGAAACTTCGAAAGTGCACAGTACTCGTCCCAAAGCTTCTCTACTTTACTCGTATCTGTAGACATTTATCGTGGTGGACTGGTGGTATTCGATCATCTCGTTTGCATGTAGGAGATTCTGCTTCACCAGTCCACGTATTTCCTTGTTCAAGATAAATTTTTATAATTAGGCCACACACCACTTTTTATGTTTTCTAAATTTCTATATTTTTACCATGGATGTTTCTCTACCCCTATCCACGCATTCGCGAGGAATTTAACGACAGGAAAGGACCGCCCCCGAAATCGCCGTTCACCCCCGCGGGTGCGCGACCCCGGTCGGACGACATTAACGCTGGCGAATAGACCATCAATAATGACGCAACCATGCATCCCCGCGCACTCGTTTCGCGGAATCGAAACAATGTCGCGACATTTGCATACCATTTGCGTGATTTATAACGCGCGAGATAATTATCTTCGTATCCAACCGCCGTAAATATCGCGGTTCCGAGGCCGTCACCTCCATCCCACCCCCGTCATCCTCCCTCTCTTGCGCTGTTACCATAACCGTCCCGTTATTTATTTACAATAACTCCACGAACAAACGTTCGTCGCATTAATTCTCCTTTATCCCGAATTGGCCCGTGGGCCCATTTCGTCCCCCATCCAGTACCCCTGTTTCCATCCTCGGTCCTGTGTCGTGAAAACACGCGTTCCAGTTTCGCGCGACCGCAACCGTAATTTCCGGCCGATTTATCACTTATTTTTCCCCGCCCAAAACGCGGCCCGTACGCTTTAAACCGGGCATAAATTTAGGGTATACCGACCCGTTCGTCGCGCTGAACGACGATCGAATGGAATACTCGTAACCGTTTTCAATTTCTAACCGGTGATGGACGAAGAAGCACGACGTCAAAGTGGGAACTCACCTATGTATACATACGTTAGCTAAAGACAAAGACCAGAATGATTCTAGTGGAGAAGTACCATAGATCGATTCGCAGGAATTCGATTAATTATCGGATGGCCAAGGGAAAACCTACAGCGCCCGAATGCTTTAGGAGTTGAGGGATAAAGGGTAAACGGGGATTAGTTTAGGGTTATGCAACTCGGTTAGTAAAATATCCGTTGTTTCAACATCGCGTAGCGTACTGTTTGCCCGGAAAGTCCTCCACCCACTTCGGATTCCTGCTTCCTCCTGCTTGGTTCTCTATCCCTCAACCGCCTCTGCCTTTCTGTCGTCGAGGGCATCGCACGCTTCGACAATTTTCTTTCGGTCACCACCCGCACTCGGTCCCTTTTGTTTTCACGAACCACTCGCCGCGGACCCCGCAGTCCACAGAGTCGCCGACAAAGGACAGCATCGAAAGCTTTACCGGGAGATCGGGATAGATAACAACGGTGTGGTCCAGAGTAGGAAGACGAGGAATGGGAGAGACAGAGATAAAGAAAGGGAGGGAACACGAATCCAGGTCAGCCCGAACTAATTGCCATTCGATTCGTCCACTCTTCGGAAGCTCCCAGGCGAAACTTTCGCTCACACCGCATCCCCCGCTAAAACACCGTCCGCACGCACCCTCGAACAAACCGCTGGTTTCCGGCTCTCCAAACTTCCGACTTCTCCTCTCTGTCTATTCGTCCCACGATTTACATCCCAACGGACAAACTGTGATAATTGCTCGGGGAAACAATTACTAGGGCTCTGGTTTCCGAAGAAACCAGCCAGATGATCTTCGACTCGATCGATACAAATTTCGATGCTGTACATTAAATCGTCAATTACTAGGGCTCTGGTTTCCGAAGAAACCAGCCAGATGATCTTCGACTCGATCGATACAAAAACTGTACATTAAATCCTCGATAAGTATTCGGAGTATCCTCGGCGCTAAACACTTAATATTTCATAAATTAATGGTCCTATGCGGCTGAAACAAGTATCATTGGCTTTATAATTCCAAGATCCAGGGACTTCTTGACCGTCGTAATCGACAGGCTTCAGATAACGTGAACAGTTTTTATAGCTTTGCCCTGACATACTATTTAATAGACAGTCTTTGTCGTTGCACTTATCGTGGGAGTTCAGTCGTTGTCCTCCTCACATTCCAAAGGATCATCATTCCAAGAAGACAGAAACGAAGTTCCAGGCCCCAGTCAGCTGCTGACCACTCGGACAAATCACGCGAATTCCCGATCGACGGGACGACAAATCTGGCGCCCGAAGCAAGAACGTGTGAAAAATCACGGTCCATTTCAATGTTACATCGGGATCGTGACAGAGGATTCTAGAACTTCTGCTCGAGATCAGAACGTGGAGAACGATCAAGTTCTAAGCCAAGGACGATTTCCCTGGTCAATGTACATAATGGAGGACATCGGGAGAACGAACGAGCACGACGAACACGCGGAAGAATTGTGTTGGTCGTCGAAGAATGAGGGGTTGGGTGACCTGTTCCTCTTGCACGACGATGGGGGAAGAGGATGGATTGATTGTGTCCAAGTGAGTTAAGGCTCGCCCGAAGAAAGATTCGAGGTCGAGGACGCTCTACCCAGGGCTTGACGAAGGTCCCCGTTTCCCATTACGGATTCCCCGCGATACGGTCCGTTCCCGTGCTCTCTCGTAGCTGTTCGCGGGGGAAGAAGAGTGGGGATGGGAGGGCTGAAACTTTCCCTTAATGACAGAAGTTTTATTGCGGGCCATCGTTCAAGCTGCCAGCGAGCCGATGATCTAACTGGCCAACTTGTAATCGTAACTTGAATAACAATGATTAACCGTCCCCAGGATAAGACGAGGAGAGAGATCTACTGTTTCTCTATATAGGAGAGTCGAAACAGTTTTCGATTGTTGTACGAGATACGTGTAAAAGTACCAAGGGACAAAACGATCTACAAATCCTTGTCGCGAGCGTACGCACTCCCGTCGAGTAATAAGAGGTCGTGTAGATTCGTCAGTGAGCTAGTGGATGAGTGAACCAGTCCGCGATTAACTGCAGGTTGATTCGATTACGCCCGATTTGGTTTCGCCGACAATTCGATTCGCGGCCGGCTCGCGAGCAATTATCAGTCAAGAGAGAGAGAGAGAGAGAGAGAGAGAGAGAGAGAGACCCTGGTCCGCGAAGTTATAACGTTTTGGAGGGTGATACAAAAAAAAGGTTTGTGACTTCTGGAAGATAGTGTTCGTGAAATGATGAAAAAAATGCTTAATAAGCATGAATCGAAGGATTAATATTTTTAAAAGTGTAAACAATTTTTGTTTTTTAACGAAGCTCTGTGTCGCGGGAACTATTCGATCGGGATTAAGGGATATTCTACTCTTCTTTATTTTTCCATGGTTTTTATTTTCTTTCGTTACGATGCCGCCCAGCATCGAGCGATACGCTGCTTCGTCATTTGGACTAATGCTTTCTTCCTTCCTGGCTCGCCCCCGAGGCAAGCGATCAATCTAAATTCGCGGGGAAAATTACCAACCGAAAGACTGACGTTCTATCCACCGTCCCTACCCTCCGAGGAAATATATTAAGACACGGTGAAACGGTGCTTTTTCTCCCCCCGAGCGACGATGAAACCGCGCTTTCACGTGCCCCACCGCCCCATTAATTCGGCCCGGCTGCGTAACGAGCCAAACATCGATAGTCTCTTGCGTGGCTCGGATGATTGCAGTTTCATTGTTCGTGGAATCGGTAATGCAAGTTTTATCGATCGTATAGAAACTTCGTGATACACAGATATTCTATGCTTCGTAGATTTATCATTCAGACTCGCGGAATTTATCGTTGTTTCCCATTTTTATTCGGCATGATCGTGATACGATCGACGAACAAATGGACAAATAAAGTCGAGTTTAAAGACCCGTTCCAATAGAGGATCGAGTCCTGAGATTCAAGAGAGCAATAGTTTCGTGAAACGAACGCGAAAAGGTCCCCATTCGCGAATGGTACACCTCCAGGAAGAATAAGATGATTCGGCGTGACTCACGCGGTCGAATCGAGTCCTGGTAATCGAAATACCTCCGACTGTCGGTCACAGCATTCCATTCCCTATTCGATTGCTCCCCACCGATGGGGAATATCCCGGGGAATTAGACTCCGTCCGATAGTCGAGTTTCCCAGCGAAACAAACTTTTCGGAGGAGGATAACGATAAAAGGAGAAACTGGCTCGTCCCTCGAAGCTATTCGTCCCTGTGGCAATTATTCTTTGCCGAATGAAGCACGAGATGGCGAATTTCCTTCTCGACCTATTCCCCCGTTCGATTCGTCCACGGGACGTGACCCGTCCCGAATTTCTTTTGTGCTCGTTTTGACGTCGAATCTACAGATCGATGTGTCACCGAACTGGCGCGATCCAAATGTTCACAGTACGGTGAACGAGAATCGAACCCAGCACCTCCGATTTACCAGATAAATAACTTTACACTTCGATAAGTTTGACTTATATTCATAGTAATTTTTAAAGGTACGTAACTTCATCTTATCACCTTAGAGAACTCTGTTAAAATCGAAGTCGAACGACGTAATGTTATTCTACATTTTCGTCTTATTTTTCCCTGTAGAATTACAACTGCTCGAGTTATACCTCCATTTCAAAAATAACCCTGCATACACACGTGTCTGACCATTCCAGGCCATTTCTACTTATATCCCTTTCCCTTTCTTCCAATCATCTCGATAGGTCTCTTAGAATTTCACGGTCGACGTTACACCTTAAATTACGTTAATCTAACAGAGTCGGATTCGGTAGTAAACGCGCAAGAGGCCACTCGCAAACGTATTCGTCGAAAGCGAACCAACCGTTTGCCTGTTTCCCAGAGCGTGTCGTTCGATCAAAGACGGATCCGGATCATCGTCGGTTCTCATTGCGAATCCCGTACACGAGGACACTCACCTTTAACCGCGTTCAGCTTGTTCCCGACCATCTGCTTCGCCACGAACGCTGCCATCTCGGTGCCGGCTGTTCAACGCACTGGGGTGTGGACCGAAACCTCTGTGAATCTGTAACCAATTACGTATCCTCTTGATATCGATCCCAAAAAGCCAAAGAGAACGTACGATAAATTTTTGATGAGTGTTCGAAGACTGCTCGGCACTGAACATTAAATATTTCATAAACTAATGCTCGTATGCGACTGAAACAAATATCATGGGCTTCAGAATTCCAGATTCTATCACTGTGCTAAACATGTGCCTTCGAACACTCATTGAGGATATACGGTACATTATATCTACGTGGACAAAGTGTGAAAAGTTCGTTGCATAAATTTGCTTCTTCGGGGAGCAGCCTACAGTCCAATAGAGTCGCGCACGGGTTTTTATACGGTCCCCGTAAATCTCTTCGACCCGGAGAAATAACCGTTTCGGGTAATAACGTTATACGGTTTTCAGCCCGTAAATTCCCTTTTATGACGCCATGAAAGGTAATACCGCGTTCGATCTGATTCGAAGTTATCCGAAGTGGCCTTCCCCCATCTCTCTGACCCGTATACGACAGCTCGAAACGCTTTCTCCGGTGCGGTGCGTATCCACGCCGGAGAATCCCAGTAGCTGTGAGGGTTTATTTAGATCGAAACGAACTGAAATTTTTCGCGAAGAGAATCGGCTTGTGCGATAAAACGATTCCGTGCAAGAACGTCGAGAATCTTTCTACCGGTGAGAGAGCCAGCGGAGTCGCGACGCTTGAAGAGTAGAGGATCTTCCTCAAAGGATCGGAAACCGCAAACAGGGGTGGGGAAAGACGGTAACGGGATTCTCGAATGATTCTTAGGCAACAGCCTGGAAGGACGAGGAACCGAACGGATCCGATTATCATGAGAATAAACATCCTGACTATACAATTGTTTCAGAGTATAATATAGATTAGTTTTTGAACAAGAACCAAAAATCCTTGAGGGAGGCGGGTGAAATTTGAGCCCCTTATTCTATCATATATGAAACTCTACACTTCAGATTCTGCTCGCTCTGTTCACTCTGTACGGGGTCCAACCACGCACCAACGAAGAAAATTCTCTAAACGCCTACAGTTGACTAGTAATGCCTCTGCTTAATTCTGGAGAATCGCGTGGTCTCAACGGTAGCGGAAAAGGTGATTAAGCAATTTTCTTTGTCACGCTCCGTCTCGGTTTTCCTCGAACGCGTCGGGTAAACACGTCCCCTTCGGCGAAAGGAGACGTTGCAGCCGAACACCAAGAGGTTGGGGGGTTGGGTCTATTGGATTAACATTAACACGAATTTCGCGGCGCGATAGCGGGTGGGCGAATTCTAATTAAATCTCGCCCCCGTCCGCATTACACGGCCCGTCGTCGTACGTACGTACGCGGCTGGCAACTCCGAGGGAGGAATTTCATTACCTCGGTCACGATGCGTTAATATGTTCTCTCTGTAGAGCATGCAACGTAAGGAAGAAACGAGGTGGGGGAAATGGGATTGTCGGACGAACGGAACGAAGAGGAACGAGTCTCTTCGTGCAATATCCTTGAGGCTTTTCCTATAAACATTCCAAAAACGGGAACGTTTTGCTTGGCTAACGTTGTAACCCATTTGCGAACGCGTACGGTACACACGGACAAACATCCTATAAAGGCCACAGAGGTTTCCCCTGTGGAGCAGAGAAGCTTCGATTCGTCGAAGAAACCGAAGAAACCTCTTCATTGGTTTCCACAAGGGTAAAGTCGCTTCTGTGGCCTGTACGCTTGGTCCATCAGCGTCGCTTATCTGGCGTCTAGCGCAGAAACGTCTGTGGGAGAGTGGCTTGTAGCCAGCCGAAGACTGGGAGCATGAAAGGATCGATGGAGAAATGGGAGAGAGAACAGAGTATAGTCGTGGGGTAGGGTGGATGGCGGTGGTTCGGGGTAGAAGGGAGGAAAGAGAGGAGACGCGACGACTGGGCGAGAAGACGACGCCGATAAACCGGCGGTAAACCGGCGTCGAGACGTCTCGGCGCCGCGCCGTTGCTCTCCTCTATCCTGCGTCTCGTGTCCCGTGATTTTCCAACAACACGACGACAACTTTATCCCGGCGACAATGGACAAAATGAGGCTCGCTTCCCCGTGATATTACGTGTTTTTCCATCCACTGAGAGGGAATCCACCTCCGCGGGACGGTAACACGCCTGGGGAGCTTTTCGATCGAAGCTCTAATCCCACCGTGCTTAAACGCGTTCCCTTGATTATGCATATGGAACAGAGAAGCTTGTTTATCCCCGCACGCCCTCACGGTTTCCTTTCGTATTGTCGTGCGATCGAGTCCTCGGTTCCATCCTTAACAATTTTTCGTCTTTTCAACGAAATCAGTCTTTTACAACGCTATCGTGTCGGCTGATTTCGTTCGACTTTGTCAAAACTTTTAATATTAATTTTGGATCGGTAGCTAAAATTTTCACCACAATTTCCCGTCTGTTTTGACGTGGAATGGCTCGGACATGAGTTACACTAGATTGGATCTCGACGTGGAAAACCGAACGGTATCGAGTTGCGGACGGCAAAGTCCTCTACGACGCTCGTCTACGAGTAAAGAAATCGCGTCCGTGCTCCACGGAAATTCTATCCCTCGAGTAAAACGAGCCTGACCCGTCAATGCTGAGAAATCGACGGGGAAAACAAAGCTTAAAGGCCCTGCGGAGCCGCGATACCCTATGCCCCTCTTCTAGGAACGGAGACAATCGCTCGAAGAATATCTATTCTTTCCCGCGGTGTCGCGTTCCCCGTCTCGCCATTCGATAAACAACCACTTAGACCGCGAGAGAAAGAGGCAGTGTCTGTTTGCCCCGCTCTTAAAAGTCGCTCGGGCAATTTGACTCGCGGGGAATCGGAGAAGCTTACAGAAGATCCTCCGTTCTCGGAGCGATTTAAACCATAACGTCTGCCCCCGGAGGTAACCGAGAGAATGCCCGGAATTGTGAGCAACCCTTCGGGGGATATGCAACCGAAATGCCATTATCGGAACGACGAGCGTCGAGGGATGGTCAGGCGTGCCACGTAAATTGGAATATCCTTTATTTGCATCGGTGGTGTTTACTCTACCATGATTACAGATGAAGATTCCCTGTTTTTCATATATAAACCTCGATTACTCGTGGCACGAGTTTCGCGACGTCAGAGCATCTTCGAGTCGAGAAGATTCTGAAGTACACTCTTCGGAGAGAGGACTGGGGATGGTCGCCTCGTTAGAGCAGACGGCCACCTCGGGGCATCCTTGGTCCTCGATCCCTGTGCGCTAATTCAATAGAGAGAAGAGATGTTCGTGCGCTGATCTAGCGTTCGGTCGCGACGAAAATCTCACCCTTCGGGGGATAGTAGACGACGACGGGGTGGTCAAACAGCGAATCTCTGGATCACCGTTTAACCGGGGTTAATTACCTCACCACTGGTCCATTTTCTCTTCCCTGTCTCTCTTCATCAGAGGCTAACGAGTCCTTGTTTCTTTTTTTTTTATTCCGATCGATTCGAGTCCTCTGTCCCCGGGGACTCACCCTCCACAACCGAGTTTCCATCACAAGAGCGTAGTATCGTTTCAACTTTACCTCCGGCCAGGGAGTTTTATTAGAGTGGGCCTAGAGTAAATCCTCCATGGCAGAGCAGTGTGTCCTATCCGAGTGGAGTCGTATGATATTTGATCAGCCCTGCAATTACAGGGAGCGCAAAAACTGCGTTTACCCTCAGAGTTGGGCGGAATTTTATTCCACTAATACATAATAAAACGCAGCAATGTCTAATTGTAAGATTAGTAGATAATACTGTAAGATAAATACTTTTTCTAACATTTCATTCGTTATTCGAAACTCTTTATCAAAATAATGAATTTACCCATCTCTACTCACCGTTCCCCGAGGTTGGGTTGTATAACGATAATAAGTTCTCTAATGCAATATTTCGAGTCGCGGTGGAAAATCACGGAAAACCCCCAGACCACAGTTTTCTCCATACACTCGTGAAGTACGAAAGCTGAATAGCGCCTTGATACGCAGGAATTCACCGGTTGGGAAAAGTAATTGCCGCCACCACCGTGAAAGAATTCCATTAGCTTTTCTACGGAGTGTACGAAACGCGGCTCAATTAACGAAACTACAAATTCACCGGAGCCAACCCCCTCGCCATATACGCGATTATTACCGGCATTCTCGGGACCGTCTGGTGCCACCACCCCCTGTTCCCTCCTTGGAATTTCTCGAAGGGGGATGGTGGCTACTAGACGCTAGGAATATGGCGGTCGTTCGAAAGGAGGTCCAGGGCACGTGATCGCGAGAAACACCTCCGACTTTCGGGGCGGGAACGAGGTCGAACGTGACGTTCGGCCGCGAAATTAAGAACGCCAGGAGGGCAGAAGTGACTGGAGAGGGGCGTTGTTCGACGTTCGGCCGCGCTAAGAGCTTCCGAAAGCAGCGAAGGCGAAAGGTAGAGGAGAGAAAACGGGAACACTTCCCCTTCCACCACCCCCCACGAGCAACTAGCGCCTATCCTGGGGGCCAAGTGCTTCCGCGTGTAGTTGAGGATTTCTCTCGCGGTGTGTACACCTAGCCGGAAGACGGTGCCCCCCTTCACAACACGGCTGCGTCGACGACCCGTTTTCTTCCAACGGGTCTCTAACCGAGAGAGAGCTTCCGGCAAGCTTGTTAACGGAAACGCGAGATACGACCAACTGGAGCGATGGAGCGACAGTAGACGTTGCTAATGGACAAGTTCGATGGTCGATGGAGAGGGGTCTCGAATTTCAGTGATCCACCTTAGTCTGTGTAAAATGTCGGAATGGCCAAAATTGAGAAGGCGGTGGATGTAAAGCTACGGTTAAAAGTCCATGAGATGCTTCTGAAATAGAGTTACGAGTTGGATTCGGAAGGGGGTAGTTTCTAAATTTTCCGCCGGTGAAGATCGAGAGAAATCCTCCGACGCGGTGGTGAAAACAGCGACAAAGTTTTCGTTACGGGGAGAGAGAACGCACGGGAAAATAATTAGGCGAGACTGCCGACCCTTCTGACGCGACCCTTGCTCCAGTGTGAAAGG